AGGCCTCTAGTAGTTAGATTTGATTTTGGAAAAAAAAATGGTGGCATGTTTTGTTTAAAATACATTTTCTTCATTTCATAAATATCCTCAAGCCAAACATTAAATGAGAGAAAGTATAGCCTATTCCAAGAAATAAATTAGTTCTGAATATCTTCCCAAATTCTCCTGAAGCCAAGTATGACAGTGCATTTTTATTTCTATTCTCCTGATGCACATTTTCCATTTATAATTCTGAGCTGCTGCAAATGCTGTAGATAGAAATTATCCTGGGGAAATTACACTATTGTTTGTATATATAACTCCTGAGTAGCCAAATGCATCCTTATCATGACTCTTTCTCTGTTATGCATTTGGTCTGGGAGTACTCACAGGATCAAAATAGACTCTTCTAGGAATAAACTATTGGCGACAAAAGGACACCTAAAATAACCTGGTGATGCCCTCCAATATTTTTAGATAAATGCATTTCTGTTCAGGACTTTTCTTACTGCATTACAGTATGAATTTTGAAACTTTTTGACACAATTGCTTCCATTTCCCATTCTTACTAGTTTTGCACTTGCTTGCAAGAATATTTCACTCCAAGATCAAAGTAGCTGCTGATTGAGGTTTTTTCAAGCAGCTGACAGAAATTGTTTTGGACAATAGCCTGACCTTGGAATAGGAGATTTAGCAGACTGGAGGTCAGCAGTAGAAAATGAGACAATGTGGAAGAGTAGTTATTTTTTTGTTGTTAAGCATTGCTTATTCAAGGAAGTAGAAAAAAAAAACCCTTTCTTTTCACATAGTTATTTTGATTTTTTATAATTTTCAATACTTTAAAAAATATTCTATGTAATTATATTTTCTAGTTAATTTTTAATAATATAAAACATTCTGATCTATGTATTATTTCTAATAATGATGTATGTATTTATGTCATTGTGAACTTTTTTCTTAATACTTTAGAATTTTAGAATATTAAGAACAGGTCATTATTTTGCATATTACATACATGTGAAAAGAAAAATAAAATTGTAATCTTTACCCTTTTCTCACTTAGAATTTAAAATTAACAAAAGTGATCAATTGTTTTTCTCTAGATGATGACATGGTAGGAAAAACAGAAAATGCTATTTATACTTTACCATGTTTAACTGATGCAATAATAAAAAGTGGTTAGATCTTGGTCTCACAAATGTAGTGAAACCTTGGTAGCATGTTTTGAAAATTTAACTACAGTGCTTTCAGGTGGACATATGGCTCTTCATCTGTTAGATATGGATTCATTAAAATCGCTGGTTTTTTACTCAGTGGATCCACTTCATATACTCTGGCATATTTATTACATTTAGAGACAAAACCATGGTATTTACCTTTGTAGAATCAAAGTAAATGGGTAGATTGTATTCCTTCTTCTGTATTGTTAGCAATAGACTTGCTTCATAAATTATCCTTAAAGAAGAAAATTTTGTTATGCTGTACCTATATAATTCCATTATAAGGCTGACAGAATGGTTCCTTGGAGAAGGCAGACAGAACTTCTGTGAAGTAAAGCATTATACATTCATCTGGGTTAGCATAAAAAATAACTTAGATATAATTTTGTCATCAGAAACATAATCACTAGGTTTAAAATATGAATGAAAACATTCCATGATAATTTGGAGGTGCATCTACGTTAGTAGTTCGGTTGTGATCAAGAGCACACTTTTGTAGTATTGTATGTTACCGAATTATCTTGAGTGCATGGGCTGGACTCCCTCTGAATGAACCTAAGCTGAAGTGTGCACTCCACAAGTACATCTGACATCCTCCATCTGATACCAGACATTCAGTCTCCAGGAACAGACTAGGTAAAACCCCCAAAATGTGCATGATGTGAATATCTGGTCCCTGTGACGAGTTGTTTCACAGCACAGATCTGCTCTGATTACACTATTTTCTTGTTAACGTGGACATAGACTACTTTGGTAATTAGGAAAAAAAATTCTTTTGAAACAGGATAGAAACTAATTATGCCATTTCTGAAGAATTGTTTTTTAAAATATCTACACTTGAAGACAGCCTAAGACATCACTGCTATCTCCACTTTGCAGACAGAGGAGAGGGAAATGCTTACAAACTTTAAGCCACAAGTTAAACTTTAAGCCACAGTTTTTTACTCATTGCAGAACTATATCTTCTGTTTGTCTTCAAGAGGCGAAGATTTTTAGTGACTCCTCAGTACTATTAACATAGTGGACAAAACTGCAGTGATTACACATACCTAACAAAACATGCCAGTGCATTGTGAATGGTATCATATCAGGTTAAAATTTATAAATAAGGCCTTTGCCCTAATTTGTTCATCTCATGATTTTAGTTAAGAAAAAAGGACCTTTTAATAAAGCTTTGTTACAAAAACTGTTCTCCAGCTCTAGAATATCAACATCCTTTTCTTTGTATCTTTGGTTTATTTCCTTAAAATTATAAACTTAATGGATTATGTATTTCCTATGTTTTCTAGGCTACCTTCCATAGGCCATCTACATGGAAATGCTCAGCCAGAGACCACTGTGTCTGTGCGGCTCGGCTGGTAGGCAGCAGACCAGTCACTGACTGTAGGACTCAGTGTGATGCCTCTGTTCACACTGTTTCATTACAATAATTTCCAGGGGCTGAGAGAATAGAGAGCCTGCCCTTACCATGCAGCAGATATGCATGGTCCCTCCAGAAAACCCATAATAAGTTCCTTAAAACACATACTAAGATGCATGTCTGAGAGTAATGTTTATCCTACTGTAATAGTAGGATAAACATCACTCCTGTTTGTTCAGCTGTCCCAGCAATACTCACCATTTTTCAGCATTTGTATTATTTGTAGTTTGTAGAAGTCTGATCATTCAGGGACAGTGAAAATTGGTGTATTTTCAGGAAAGCATAAGAAGAAAAGGAAATTATTTGATCGGAGCCATAATGCCAAATTCCCATTTCAGTGAGAGGTCAGATGACTGTTCCCAGTTCTGACCTGACATCAGATGCAGCATCTGAGCCAGCTCTAATCAGGCTTAGCTACTTGGCATAGCACTGATCAATGTGGAAATACCAAAACAATGTAACTTCAGCAGCAGGATGTACCAGCACAGTCTGTCTCCAGACTCAGTGTATCTATCTGGGACCACGCTGTGTACTTCTGATCGGGTGCTACTTTGCATAGTGTGGGTGCACATTTAATGGCCAGAATTCACAGTACCACAGGTGCACAGAGTGAAGTATCTGGGAATGTAAAGGCATGGAGATGACAAAAGGGGAGAGACTATTGTTAATGGGATGCAGAAACTGTGATTTGCCTTGGAAAGCTCAAGTGTTGTAAGATGTGGTATTTGGCATACAGGGAGAAGGAAGCATAGTAGATGATAGTACTTCTGTTATAGTTGTACAGGACGGACAAGAGCATGTGACTGATACTCTCTTTTCAGGGCAGAAGAGGAGGGAGCCCAGACAGAATACAGATATTCACAGAAAGCACTGGACAAGAAGGCAGAGACAGAACAAAGTGAGTGGAAAGGAAAATGGTCTGCAGCATCCTAAGTGCCTGTGATGTTTAAGAGTCCTCAGGAGGCCAGTTTTCCCTTAAGAGGAAAAAAAATCATGCCTTTAACACTGGTGGGAGTAGGTCTCTCAAGTACATCTCCAGAGGTTGCTCAGGATAGTGACAGTCTGGACAGAAGATGAAAACACACGAAAAATTAAAAATAATACCTTCTTCAGAATCCTAAAAGAGATACTTTCACTTTCATATATGTTTGTTGTGGTCAGGGGTTTTGGGCAAAGAAAAGGATAAAGTTAGCTGTGGCAACTTTAGTCCCTAACCTCTATTTTGCAGATCTAAAGTTGAATAAGCTTACCTTTGACAACAGCAACACTGACTAGTATGTAGCTCCAGCTCCATGCCTGATAGTGCTGGCTGTCTTCAGATATTAAAAGGGGAGCTCCAGGCTCATTTTCTAGAGAAAAGAGCCTTAATTCTCAAGGTGGTTTTTTGGTGTTTTGGTGGGGAGGGGGAGCTGGGAAGGGGCTGGTTGATTGGTTTAGGGATTTTTTTTTCTTATCTTTGGAAAAGCTTTTGCACTGTTTAAAATTAAAAATTAAGACTTCTAGCAGAGGCACGTGTGGTGGCTAACCTTACTGCTCCTACAGTTTCCATTATCCGAGCTGTTCTTTGGAGCAGTAACTGAAATAGAAGGCAGAGAGTGGGAGTGCTGAATGGGAAGGTGAAGGGCCTTGGCAGATTTCTGCAGCGCAGGTGGAGCTCCCTCAAGCCTCTGACTTATATTTTCTGAGTCAGAGAATTAAGGATTGATAGTGGCAATTATGTACGCTGGGTACAACAGAGATCTGAGATAAAGAGATAATGGTCCTGCTTATAACAAGAGAAAGGCAGCAGCTGAGAGCAATAGAAGAAGAAAGCAAGAAGAAAGAAAAAACATTAAGTGGGAGTAAGTCAAGGCATACATTTTAGCAATGGTGCTGGAATTTCAGGTCTTTAAACTCCTTCGACAGGTGATACTTCCTCGCTGGGACTCTGTAGCTATTAATATGGAAGCGAGACATTAAAAAGGAGAGAGACAGTCTGGCGCTTAGACCCTGAGAAGTTTGCAGACAGGGAGCTGTGGGAAACATCTTCAAGGAAAAGTGCTTTGTCCTGAGGCTATAAGTGGTGAAACATATTTTCAGGGTTGTTCCTAAGCAAAGGGACCTTGGGAGGTTCAAACCAGAATGATCTTCTCTCCATAAGTGAGCTGTTAAAGGTCCCAGTGTGTTTTGGAAGGCTTGAAGATGTTGCTGTTTGTGTCATAGGATGACTTTTCAGGTTCACTCTTGGATTCTGGATGATTTGGTAACACCTACACTACACTTCTCTTACAGCCCAGAGAATGTACAGGGATGTCTCTGTACTTTATTAACTTTCTCAGTAATATATTTGTTACCCAGCTTTGGCCCGGTGACTGCATTTTGTGTTAATTTAAAAAAAATTATTTTATTTTACTTTTCTATTTTTTTTTAATTTGCCATTTAATGTGAGGTGATTACTGCATTTTAATAAGTGAAATTACTATAGCATTTTGGAAGTAAACAGTAGTTTACTTCCAAAATGATATCAGTAGTTAGGCTGAATCCAATTCCCGTTAAAAGGCCAGTTACCCAATGGCAGGTCACCTGTGGAGTTAAAAAATATCAACAGTAGCCTGAAGCTATTCAACACTGTAGTATTCAGTGAGTAGATAAATTTGTTAGACTTCAATACTAATAGTTCCTCAGGCATCATTATTATATAAATTTGCTCCTTGTGTTTTTTTCTGTTCTATGAATTCCTGTAGCACCTCTATTATAATAATTTGGTACATCTCTATCATTTACTTTGACTGTTATTTTCAAGTGGTAATACCTCAAAAGTAGACACAATTAGATTACTGAATAATGCAAACCACAAGAGATATTTATAAAGAGAAAAAAGAAAATACAAGCTAATGGCTAGTTCAACCTTCATTAAATACAAATGCAATAATTATGGTAAGGTTTCCAAGTTCCTTGAAGTGTCCTGTGTTGCCTAAGGCCTTTTTTTTCAACCCTAGAGCTGTGCAGCCCCTGCACTTAATGTGCACAATAAGTTTTCAGAGGAAAGAAGATTTTGGCATTTACAGGTGCATATGCATTAGGTAAAACAATCCCCAGTAAGTGGTGAGTGAAGTTCTCCAGATAATTTCTACCTCAGTAGTACCTGCAGAACTTAGAAATGCACTGATTTCTGAATGCCCTTGTAAAAGTCACTCTCATGTCAGAAAAATTTTTATTTTATCTCAACTCAATTTACCCTGTTCAACACTTCAGGCATCTTTTCTTTAGCAGTTATTTGAAATCCACACTACCATTAGTGCACACTATCAGGATGTTCTAGTGCAAAGCGCTAAAAAGCATCATGGTAAATGATTGCATCACTCCAGAAGACATTATCATTATCATTTAAAAAACTATTCACAGTGCCTGCCACATGAGTATGAATAGAATAAACTGATGCAAAACAAATACATTAATTTTACTTCTCTAGTTTTTGAGAAACGGGAAATACAAAAGCATACAAAAGGAAATTAGAACATCCAGCACTCTTGGTAATAATTATCATAGGCATTTGAAAAACAGGCACACAGAAAAGGATATCTGCAGAGTCAGAGACTGCAGTGACCTCCCACACTGCCAAGTTCTTTAGAATTACTGAAATTATAAACAAAGTAAAAGCTCTTCTTTCCCAAACAGCCGCCTCGATGTCACTTGTTTCCACATTCTGGCTTCTGTCGTTGCAGCCCACACTTTCTCTGTTGCTAAGTGCTTTAGGCTTCTGCAATATGTTCCAGCAGCTCCCTGTTTCTCTCATATCTCCAAACATGCTATCATCTGAGAGCAGAATGTCTAGGTTTATCTGACATGGCAAAAAAAATAAAGATTAAACTGTACAAATTACAGATTCTTAAAGAACACTAAAATTTTCCATCTGAAAAGCTTATCTCCATAATTTTGCATGTCGTTTCATAAGATGTTGTTAGAACATGTTTTCAATTCACAGTAGGATATGGGAGGGATGAGGGCACATTATGGCTTCTGGGAGCAGCTGTAACTAAATCTTGACTGTAAGTGACAATAGCAGCACAGAGCACCGGGTACTTGCAGACGCTTACATCAGTGCTGCCACTGAGCTATGCAAATAAAGAAGCTCATAAATAAATGGAAATCATAGGAAAAGTGGGGGGGAGGGGGGCGGGGGGAGGGGGGGAAGACAATACAACAGTTAAGAATTTATATAATTTTGTAATTATATTGGTAAATGTAGACTGTTACATCTTTCATCATTCTGGCTTAAACACTGGTTTCTTCTACCCTCATAGCAGGCACATAGTAGTTTCCATTCAGGAGAGAATGACATTGTCACTGTTATTCACTCAGCTATGTCTGCCTTTTTTTGTTTTGGTGAGTAGGCATCTTACTGAGTGCAGTTTTCAGCCTATGTGCCTTTACCCACCCTGGGATACAATTCCACAACTCTCCCTATATCCTTAGCTACAGTACCAGCATACCTACTATTGTGATTGCTGGCAGGTTTTGCTTTATGTCTTTCATTCAAGTTAAGATGACCAACATTAGCTCTTTAATAGTGGTTAGAGAGCTGTCTTTAGTGATTAAAGGGCTAACATATATAATTGTGTGGGCACCCCATTGCCAGATACGAGAAACATTCTAGGTACATATTTAGGTTAAATTTGGCATTTCCCAAAGCCAGCTTAAGGTATAGAAAAAGTAAGCAGTATTTTCAGAAGAAATTAATTCAGCACATAAGGACTGGATTGGTAGAATGAAATAGTTGATACTAAGACACCTCATTTTTCCATTATATGCGTTTTGGGGGTTTATTCTAGATTATATTTAGCCTGGTCACTGGAGCCAAACACCTCCGCTATACATGTGTTTTAAAGCTTTCTGAGAAGAAGTGTTAGGTATGTGCTAGAAGACCTTGTGATGATGCAGCTTACATGTTATTTTGGAACTTCTTGTCCCCATTAGCACTAGGGTGCATGTGGAGCAGATTGGAAACAGAGCTTCTGTTTTCATTTCCTCCTGAAGGAATTTGGTTTGTATGCACCAAAACCACTTTGGGAACTGAAACAACACATGCTAAGTGGAGATAATGACAAGATTTTACCCCAAAGCACGCTGTTGCTTTGAAATTAACTGCTACTGTGGACACAGCCTTCTTTGACAGCTAATGAGGGAGCAATCTGCAGGTTCTGCTAGGGCCTAGGAGAGAAGATCAGCTGCTTTAGGCTGAATCTCTTCCCTCCATAACAGACCACCTTTCAATATCACTGCAGGTGATATTGAAATCAATACAAGGTATCAATACAAGAATATCAATCAATACAAAAATATCAACATTCTTGCTCTTCTATTCTATTCTCTATATTCTTTTTCCCACCCATTCTCATCTTGGAAAAGGTCCCTGGCCTGCCCCATTTCCACCCACGTGGAAGATGCAGGAAGTGACCTGTGGCTGCAAAAATTATGCAAGCTGTAGAATGAGGACCAACAGCTGACTGAGACATGAGCATGAAGATACCATAGCCAAAAAGAAGTGAGAAAAAGAGTATCTCTAGAGTTAGGTGAGCATATACAGATTGGTAGAGAGGGGTGTCAAAGCCCCATTACTTCCAAAGCTCTGCTGCTTCTTTTCTATACTTCAGCCTCCTAGAAAGTAACTGGCAGTTCACAGTACCCTAACATTTCCTTGAAACGAAACAAAAAAAAGACCCCTCCCAGTGTCCCCATTTTGTATTCTGAAATAGCTCACTTGCTACTGCTGCAAATTTAGATTAACCACACCAATATAAAATTTCTGAAACCATGTTTCAGCAAGATGCTTTCCCTCTGCCTCCCCACACAGAGGGTAAGAGAAATTCTTGTTAAATCTGTCTGGTTTCTCTGGGTTCCTGGGCCTCTTTTTTTCCTCCAGACATGTTCTTTTAATAACTGTGTGCTGAGACAAGAGGTATCATGCCTCTGCCTTCATTCCCTCATTTAGTCTGTGCCTGAGACCAAAGCTGGTAACTACTCTTTTCCTTAATCAAAACCTGGGATGGGATGTTCTTTGCTTGACATCTTAAAAGCTTCTTTTAAGGTGAGGAGGGCTGGGGTTAGGACACCCTCCTCTCTACCCTAGCATTAAATGGCCTGGTTTATTTTGAAGCAGAGAACAGTACCAGTCAAGCTAGGGAATATGCTGCAAATAAAAACTACAAAGCAGTGTGAGAGTCAGCTGAAAAGCACACTTCATCCCTTACCACCCAGACAAAGTAATGGCACAGCCCCCACCAACTGTGTAAGGAGCGACACATAGACCCTGCATCACTCTACTTCCCGCTTCTTTTCCCCTGAAGTGCCGGTTAAACTAAGCAGATTTTACAATATAGTCATGTGCTCCACTTGCCAATAATCAGCTAAGTGTAAATATCAACACATTGCTGCAGAGAAGCTCAAATGTCATCGTAACCATTCCCTTGGATCACTTCAGCTTTGTGAGGGACAGAGAGAACAAAGGTGCCAGAGGACAAACAGCCGCCCTACAGCAAGCATGGAAGAGCAGAAAGGAGAGAGTCAACACAATGAGAAGAGAGCTGGTAAAGCTAGAGTCATCTGGAGTGTAGAAAAGGAGTGCCATACAGAGCAGCTACAGATCCACACAAGGTGATACCAGCAAAACAATTTTCAAAATTTTTCTATGTAGTAGGACCTGCTACAGAAAAAAAAAATCCAAACAAACAGGAGCAGTAGTAGAAACAGTTTTGAATTTAGCTGACAAGGGTCAAAAGCAAGAATTATTCACACACTTCATCAACTAGCATCCAATTAAAACAAAACCAAAAAAATAAAGCCCCAGCTATAAAGGACAGGTGTCTGACATCTTTGCTGACATGATCCTATGAAGGGCAAGGCATAAGAGGCAGAAATTACCTGTATCTCATGTGTAAGGAGATCAACCTAGGAAGCACCGAATTGTTGTATTGAAGTGCTGTGTTTGCTACAATTGCAGAAAGGAAACTCTCTCCTTCCCTTATAACAACTAGAAATGGGTCTTTAAGGGCAGTATATACAAATGCAGTGCATTCCGTGATCTGTATTCTTGGTATGTTACTAAGATACAACTGTTTCTATGGAGAGCCTATTGGTGGGCAAAATAAACTGTTTTGATGAATTATAAAAAAGGTAAATTAATATTTCAAAACAAAATATTGAATGAAGCTAATGAGATTAAGAGATTAAATCACACCAATATAGAATTTCAAGTACATAGTTACCTCCTCTTTTTTTTTTTTTTTTGTTTTAATTTCTACTAGACATTTATCCTAAATTCTGTATGGTCTATAAACTGATATAAATTACTATCTGTCCTGCAAAATACTTAACTAATTCTAAAGCCATGCATGTAGTGGCTACAGAAGCTCCAACTGAATTCCAACTGAATTTTTGTTTGTTTTTATAAAGTAAGTATAATTGTGCAGTAATTTACTGGGAGTATAAGTATCTGCATGGCCAGGAATATGCCATGTTGTGAAGAAAAGAGATTTGAAATGAAGAATGGTAAAGTAAAGAAAGAACAAATAAGTATGTTAAATAAATCTCACCATTTAATTTTAACATGCTTCTGTGTAACAGTTAGACTCCACAGATGACAACTAATAGATATGTGGGGGACTGTGGCATTCCTGCTTCTTTTTTGTTTATAGCTCTAATTATTTTATACTGTGATGAAACAGAACTTGAAAAATGCTGTGCTTGACTTAGAGAATAGTTTAGTTGATCAATCAGCAATCTGGCAAAGCAAGCAGCTACACAAAAAGAAATTGGTGAGGAATTCCATACTTAAATCGCTTGGAATTTATGAGTGGCGTCTTCTTTTTTTTTATCCTTACAACTGTAGAAATTATTAACCTCATTTGAAGATGCACTTTGCTATTTTCAGTGTCAGAAAAAGTCTATAGGTTCCATATAATTTTAATCAATTGTCTTATTCAACCTTAAATGCACATGTAGCTATGTAAAATTTATCACTGTTACCTAAGAGGAAGCATTTCTTTCAATGAGTAGATAGGAGCTGTCATCTATATTCTTCTGGTCTTATGCCACCCTTTTTTCTCTCTCACTTGGATGGAGTCTTCCAATTCTAACACCACCATATAAATACACACATGGCTGCCTAAAGCAAGATTCATAGGACAGCAAAAATTAGTTAAGAAAAGCCTGACTGATCTAGCTGTTGCAATTAAAAAATTTATTACAGACCTCAGCACTTTGTCCCTCCCATGCGCCAGAGGGTACCCTCCCTAGGAGGTGTGTCAGAAAAAACTACAGGCATCTGACTCACCTGCCTCTATGTCCTCACTGGTGGTTAAAGCTACTTGTCACACTATACAGGGAAATAGGTATGGTTCTGTCTCCTCTCCCTCGGGGTGTAACAACTTTCTGCAGAAGGGTAAGGCAACTAGCTGAGTCAGTAAAAAAATAACATCTCAATTCTACCTATCTCCCCTGCATAGTTAGTGTTGTTAAGATTACAAAACAGTAAAAGCCTTTGGCCTGGACTCACAGATAAAGCACTACATCTACTTACTTCCTAATTTCCTGATTTTTTTTTTCCATATCTTCTCTCTTGCATTCTGTTTCATCCATCCCAGTTCTCCTCCTGTTCCCCTTCTCTATCTGTAGTGCTTGTTTTGCAAATGCTATCTCCTACTGACATCTCAAAAGCTGCCATTATAAATTTCAAAGTAGTCAGGCAACCAGTTGCCAGTGCACAAAAAACTCCAAAATATAGTTGATCTGAGCATGTACAGGGATCTCCAGAATATATAAGGAAGTCTCTGCACATGAACAATATATCATATACCTGTGGCACAGAAAACAATGGGTTTTCTGTATGGGCACTCAGTTCTTGCTGTGGCAGCCTATGTTTCCCTCAGCTCATTTCATTCTATCCCCAGACTTCCTGTGTCTCATTTTGTTTCCAGCATTCACTATGCACACTGGTTCTGTTTTCATGTGCCTTTTCTGATACTCTAAGTTGGATCTTAGTTCTGCTCACACTTCTTTTATTCCCATGTCTCTCTACACCTTCCTGTCCAGTATTAAAAAGAGAAATTTGAGAATGATCTGGTTTCATCTTCACTGGAACAGCTACCATCTTTGCTAGAACAAACTTAAGTTTTATGTAACAGTATTACAGGAAAGTAACCAGCTGTCATGACTGAAAGTAATTTCATTTAAGTCCCGAAACACTCTGGAGAGAGCAACCATTACAATAAGGAAAAACCAAGATGTTGGACACCTACAGTCTTGTAACTGCAGGAGTCTCTGTGTATTTTGTGCTTTAATTTCAAATCCACTAAGTAGTTTGAATTGGCAATGATACAAAGGTTCTGGGACTCACTGATGGCATTTCTAATCAATTCAGTGAATAATGACTTTCTGTGAAGCAATTTACTTGCCATGAAGAAGCTATTCTGTCTGAGACACTGAACCTGCATAAAAGAAATAGAGAAGAATAGGAGCCTCTTCCCCTGCCATTTCAGATTTCTGTTTCATAGAGAATAGTATCCCAGAATGGTACCTGAAAGGCACAAGCAGCAGAGGTGTGCACATACATGTGACCAGTTCTCATTATCTGCAGACCTTCATTGCTCACTACCTTTAGTCTCCAACACAAAATATAAAAAAACAAACCAAAATATTTCACTAGGCTAGAGTTTTATAGTGATGTATTGTCCAAGGCACAAGCCTCATTTTTTAGACAATTTACAGAAAATACCTCACCATTTTCTATCTGAGTATGGTAATTGACCTAGTTGAAGTAGGCTTAGTATCTTTTGTTTTGAAAAGCAGGATGTCCTTCCTGTCTTTCAGAGCAGTAGTAGAGAAATAAAGGAGTGTCTAGTATTTGTTCGCAAACCCAGGCAGAACTGTACAAAAAGGGGCTGTCTCCATGCTATTAACTTCCTTCTACAAGGAGTAAACTGACTCTTGCTGAAGCCAGTGGAAAGACTTCATTTACATTACCTGGAGGAATCTCCATCTGGAAGAAGAAAACAGTCAAGAAAAAAAAAAGCAATGAAACTAGATTTTCCACTTAAACAGTGCTCCAGATCAAAACAATATACACAACTGGTAGATACTTTGTATGTACAAATACCACAAATGCCAGGTATAAATAAAAGCATCAATTCTGATATTGTAAAGATACTGAAATCATTATCTACATGACTGATAAATATTCTTCAAAATTTAGAGATGCAAGGTGTGAGGAAATGAGAAACAGTATTTAAGTAGCATTGTGACAGGATATTGTGATGTTACATATAGGAATTAAAAGGTTTAGCAATATAGAGGAAGAAAACAGTGACAATATGTCATATGTATATATCATGTCATACATTACAAATATTTATATGCTAAAAAATGATAATGTTGTGATAGGAAATAAGCACAGGTAATGTGCTTAGTCTTCTGGTAATTTCTGCAGCACTTAATCAGTCTCCAAACACCTGTATAGCTATGCAAATTAAAATCTCAAATGTAGATAATGTAGATAATCCCCTACTATTTTCACTTTGATAACTCTTTCCTGCTTGCCAAAAACGAGGTTTACAAGAACAAATAGTAACTTTCCACAATGTGCCTATGTGGAAATATACACAGCTAAAGCAAAGTGCAACTAAAACAATGACCAGCTCCCAGTTAGAGAAATCATGGTAGAAATGGCTACAGCTCTTCTTAGCAGAAGTATACCCCTTTTTGCTTCTTTCAAGGGGTACCTCCTTCGTGTTACTGCTTCCTGCTTACATTCATCAGAAAGGAAGGGGTTTGGTCCAGTGAGGTAATAGAATTGTATTATATTTAGCCTAGAGGCCTTGTACTAAATCCAAGTAACCTAGAAAACACTTTATATGAATAGCAGCTTGATGTAAGAAAGCAAGAAACTGTCTTAATTTGATTATTTTAAATGGATTGGAGTTTTGCGTAGGTGGAAGACAATCATTACAGAAAGGAGTGCTACACAGACTAACATATAAATAGCTCATGCTGTGAGGAGAACAATAGCCCTGTTTCTTTTCTCAGAGCACAGATACAATTAGTTAGAGGATATTGCATTCTTCAGAATTTTTTGGCATCCAATAGAAAAAACAATTGCATTTCAAAACAGAATATTGTATTTGGAAACCACTTCCTCTTTTAATAACCTGCCAAGGCTTTCAGTCCTTCCCCTGCAAACGAACACATCCCTTGTAGTTTAGCACAATGCTTTCCCACACTGCCGCTGATTGCGAGGTCGCTGACTCCTGATGCAGTGACAAAGAATCTTGAGCTTGCCTCTTGGCAGGGAAGTAACTGCTTTCCATGTACATTGTGTTAAAAATGCATGTTTCTGTAGGGTTTCCATCTACCGTTATATGAACTCCACTGATTTAGCTCCCATACTTTTACTGTCACAGAATAACTATATACTTTCATTGAAGAAATGTAGAGGTAAAGTCAAATGTTCATTTTCAAAGCAGGAAATCTCAGTCCCCTGACAGCACTGTATTCCTACTGATGGATTTAGATTCTAATGGCTGATGTAGATTTCATCAAATTGTCCAGTGGCAATAATTCATTCCATGTGACCTGGGTGTATTCTATTCTCGCTGGGTTAGAGAGAAGACCTATTACGCTCACCAGCCAATCCATCTTAAAACTAGTTTAAAATATTAATAATCATGGTTAGCTAGATGGAAATATGATTGATTGCTACATAATCCTCTAAATAATAAAACAAATCAATAGCTATAGTTATAAAACTAGACTCATGGGATAAATCAATCAAAACCAGTGCCTACATTTCAAACTTAAGCCTGTCACTGTCTTCCTTCAGCACTGTTTTTTGCCCAGATGTGAAAATCTTCATTTGAGGTCATGAGGTAGTGACAGATACAAAGGCCAAATGGATATCAAGTGTTCTTCCCTCTTAAAAATTCATTATTCTCCCCATTACAAGTGGAAAACCCTAAAATACTCTAATTACACTGTGATCAGTCTTGATCCCCCTTATTTCTTGAGTGACTCAACTGCTCATTTTTTTTTAGTTTCTTCCTTTATTTGTAATAATTTCTTTTCCTGTAATAACAGAAGTATCAACAGCAGACTTACGAATCAAGTAAAATGAACATATTTTACTGATATTTTTAATATATAAAAACACGGCTTCATAAACTTCTAACCCACGTTCTCTCTGTACTTCGGAACAGCATTTACTTGGATGTGCTGCAATAAATGGACATGCTGCACTCCTTACTGTGCTGTCTCAGAAACTTGTTTTACAAACCATGCACATAATAAACTTGCACACTATCATTTCTAATGTTACTACATACCCAAAATAGCCTTCAAATTGAATGAGATAAAACAAAACATACATCATCTACTTAGCATTCAAAGATCAGGAGAACTGGTAGGTCTAGCAGGAACTGGTAGGTCCTGAGCTTTAAAGGAGATCTGTAAGGGGTATCTTTGCATTACCAGAAAGTTCAAAGCTTGAGTGTCTGCTTTCTCTGTGTTATTAAAAATCCCACAAGTTTTGCAAATGTAAGGTAGCTATCCTACATCTTGAAAACATGCAAAAATACCACGGTAATCATGTTTAGTCTGTATAAACAGAACGTTTGTTTCTGAGTCATATTTACTTCTTTTTATCGTAAACCGATTTCACTAGAAATTTCCATCAGCACAAGCAAAGTGAATTTCTCTGCATTTAAGAAGTGGTTTCATGTTTGCACTCCTTTTTTAGGCAAGAGCAATTGATTTCTGTTTACTGGGAAACATACTTGTCTGTGTTCTGGTTTGCTTGTGCTGTTGGAAGGGTCAACAGAGCTGGAAGCAGGGGAATTTTCAGCTGGCACTGCTCCTGTGAAGGCAGCTCCCGCTTGGCCCTACTGTGGAGAAGGCCTGGCTTGAATAAGCTGCATAGAGTTTCTTAAGATCAGGGGCTTACTGCTGCAAATGAAAATGTTCTCTAGTCTCCACCTAGACACAGCAAAGTACAGACGTGCCTGCAGAATGAAGCAGTTTTGGCCTCACTCAGCATCCACAAGGAGTGTGGGGAAGCTGAGACCCACATGCAGACCTTGGGCTGCATGAAGATGGGAAAAGGCCCTGTGACACCGAATTTGAACTGACAAAAGCAAGAGAGCAGCTAGGCAGCAAGGATAAGCAGATAGCCAAAGGGAAAAAAAGCAACCCATTTTCCAAATTCTGGCCCAAGCGACCTATGCCCTGGTACTTTAAGTTCAAAATCATGTCACTAAAATCAGCTCAGATTTGGCCCTCCTGACAGATCTTGTTCTTTGTGTGATGGAAATGTGAAAAAACAGTACAGAACAGCTGGCTTTCACCAAGCTAGCTTTCACCTTCTAGGTCTCGTTCAGTTACACACAAAGCCTAAGAAATTTAGGGCTGGAAAGGGCTGAGAAGTGAGGAAACACAGACTGGATCACTTTGAGGGGAAAAAAGATTCTAAGCGCAGGAAGGCAGCGTGGTTGGCGCTGTCAGAGCGATCACAAGGAGGACATGGGGGATGGTACAGGCACCGTTGAATGCAGGAGACAAAGGAAAGAAAACATCACAAGAATAAATACGGGAAACATGAATTAGAAATTGATCTAATGAGACACCCGGCTTCCCTGAACTTCGGTTACTAACTAATGTGCCAGCCGTAGGAAGGGGGAGCAGGGGGATGCCTCAGAGATGAGCTAAATCGCCCCGCAAACCCAAGAGGAAACGCTGCCAAGGAACCGGTAAAATGAAGAGCGCCAACGCCCCTTTTCTACCCACTCGAAACGGCTCGGGGAGACCCCTCGGACGGCCAGCAGCACGCAGGGCCCCGGGGCGGCTTCCTGGGAGCCTCTGCCGCTGAGACCCACTTCCTCCCGCGGAAGGAGGCGGCCGCGCAGGGCCGCTGGAGGATCGGCGAGCCGCAGCAGCGCCCCACTCGGCTCGGCGCGGCCGGGCTCCCCCGCAGCGGGGCGGGCGGCCCAGAAAAGCACTGCGGCAGCCCCCGCTCCCCGCGCCGCCGCTCGGGGCATTCCCCGCGCTCCGCCCTGACCCCCCCGCTCCCCGCGCAGCCGCCGGCCCAGCCGGGGCCGCCCCGGCCGCCAGGTGTCGCCGGCGCACGGGCGTCCCCCCGGCCCCTCCTGCGCCCGGAGCCGGCGGGGCTGGCTCAGTGCGAGCGGGCGGAGGCGTCAGCCCGCAGCGGGGACGCGCAGCCCAGCCCGGCTCGCCTCGGCTTGCCCCTTCCTCGCACACCCCCGCGGCCCGGCTCGGCTGACGCTCTCGGCACCGCCAGCGGCCGGCCGGGCGGCTCCCGAGCACGGCCTGCGGCCGCTCTCCGGTGGCGGCGGCGGGGAGCCGCGGCGAGGAGAAAGCTGCTGCTACGGTGGCGGCGGCGGGGGGAGCAGCCATGTTGGAACGGGGAATAAAGTGACTTTCCTCGGGGAGGGAGCGCGACCGGCGGTCCGGCGAAGGCTCTCGGGCGACGAGGGGAGGGTGGTTTCGGCTCCCGGCGGCCGGATACCGCTCCTAGGCGGAGGAGAAGGGGAAGGAGAAGGGGCAAAGGAACCGCCCCCGGACCCGCGAAGCGCCGGTGCTGCTGGTGAGTTGTGGCTGCTCATTGTCTCCCGGCCCAGGGGTGCGGGTCCTGCTCGCGGCGGCTGTTGGCTCTCGGCCTGCGGTGCGTGGGACGTCGCGGGGGGTGAGCTGACAGCGCGGCCCCGGAGCAGGGGGGAAGTGCTGGTGGTGGTGGGAGAGCGCCCCGCCTGAGGGCCGGGGACTGCCGGAGAGCCCCGGGCGCGGGGAGCGCCGCTCGGCGCCCCCGGGCAGGGTCGGGCCGGGCTGCGGGGGATTTCCGCTGCCCGGTGGCGGCTGGGAGCGGCTCCGCAGGGGCTGGGGGCAGCTCCGAGAGGCTGAGCCCTGTGCCAGGGGAGCCGAGCGAAGCCCGGCCGGAGGGGTGAGCCGGGGATGGCAGCCCCTGAGCACTGCCGGATTTTTTGGTGATCCTGCGTTCGTCACCGGCCTTTCCCCACCGCCTCCTCCTCTTCAAGCGAGAGGCAGCGTTCTCCTGACAGCTCTTCTCCTCGCAGCCTCCGCACGTATGACACATCGCTCCTATTGCAGGTCTCCCCCCACACACACACCCAAAATATGTAGGTTTCAGTGCGTGGCATAAGAGTTCTTCTGCTCTGAGCTTTGAGTTAGAAGGTGACAGGATACGTGAACATTGTCTGACCCTGAACTTCTGTTAACTCCTCCCTCCCCTTCCTCGCTCAGATATGTAATGGCTTGAGACCAGTGAGAGCAAAATGGTTCTCTCGAAAGGACGGGGAAAATCAGGTGGGATCATGTATATTTTATATTTCTTGCAAATTTATTGCGCCTACCCGTGCCAATACGATGTTCATAGGAGTGGATTAGCTGCTGCGCTAGAAGAATGCTGACCTTGATCCCCTTTGTCTCTCCTGCAACAATTTTGGTAGCTGCTCTAGTTCTAAACTCATTGCTGTCTTTGGCACTTTGCTAATGGTTGCTAACAGTGTTAAAAGCAAAACGGGGCTGATTTATAATCCAAACTCAGAGATTTAAAAAGCATCAATTTCCTTTTTTTTTTTTTGTATATATTTTGGTGAAAATTTTCTGTTCTTTTGTAATTTAACAGAAGATCAATAGCAACATTCTTGTGCGTATCGCGGTACAGATACAAGAGCAAGCCTGGTTTGACGTTCTTCCATTACTTCTCCCCCCCACACTTTTTTATTTTATTAATTGAACTGGAAGCTGTATCACCAAAGGTTAAATACTGAGAAGAAAACTTTTATAAAATTAGTACCAAATTCAGATTTGTTTTTCTTATTAGAATTGGGGAAAAAAGGAAATAGGTGATCTGGTACTTTATGTGCTTTAGAAGAAATTGCCATATTGCTTTGTATAAGAATTCTGTATATTTGCACACAGCTCTTGTTATTTACAGCTGCACTTCTGTAAGTGACATGAGAGAGGCTTGTGTTGAATAATTAATGTAGAAGTAACAGATAGGAAAACATAAAATCACATGTTTGAATACATGGTGAAAATTTTCCTTTAAAATTGTTTGTGCTTAAAAGAAAAAACTGAATTTAATTCTCCAACATAGATAAACCATTATAATGTTAACTTGGCATTAAAAAGGCCACTTAAATTAGAAAGATGAAAGCTTTTTTTTTTTTTTTTTCTGTCATAATTTAAATACTGCTTTGACAAAAATGATTCTGACTTGCAAAAATCTTTAGGAAGGATAACGCAATGAGCTTCATACCTTTTATTTGCATATTGTGCTTTGTAACTGTGTGTTTACCCAGGATGGAGCTCTACACAAATCATGAGGTGGGTTCTTCCTACATCCGTACTGAAGAGTTTGCAAATTAAAGCCCATGTTGTCTGAAGCAAATTATAGTTTGAATATGGGGAGTCATTTATTTTAGGCTTGGCTAAGAATGTAGTGCATTAATTAATCTTTTTAATATGTAAAATGCCACTAGCGTTTAGTGAAATACCTAATTTATAATTGCAAATATAATTTAAATTGAGAAACATATCATGACTGTATATTTCCCCTGAATGGCTCTGGCTTCAATTTCTGCCTAACACTGCAGTGTGTAAATATGGTATAGCTTATGGCAGGGAGGTTAAGATGCTCAGTCTGCATATGTTACTGTTATGATGTGGAGCTCTTACAGTAAAACGATGCAGAATTTTTTGCATGGCCTAGTAACATACAAGTCTTGTAATTTCTTAAATGACTACCTGCTGCTAGGAAAAAAAAAATGTTATGTTCACCTTAATAAGTTTTGGTCCAGCAGTATATTTGAGTAATTGCACCTAAAAAGTGCAGTTGGGAAAAGCTTTGTTGAAGTCTGGTTCATTGAGCAGTCTACATTAAAATCTTTCTATGAGTTTGCTCTTGACCCTCTTTTCATGTTAAGTGGGAGCTCTTAATATTCCAAGTACAAATCAGTTTTTATTTTTTGTCCAAGAAAGCTAATGAGCTGTATTTTAAAAAGTTGTATATACTAGTTGTGTATTTATTGAATGCATTATATGTTATAATGTGAAAATGAACAAGATCATATTTAAAAATCAAGCTCAAGTATTATAAAGCTTTTCTAGCATAAACTCGCTAAAAGTGGCTTACAGTTCTTAAGTTACAGGTATCTTAACTTTTTAGCTGCATGCTTACTCTTTTTTTTATTTCTGCAGCAAGCCTTGTGGTGAGGCAGCTGGACACCACTGTAATCGTAGCAGTTCAGAATTTTATGTAATACACCACAACTTTAGCATGTAAAAATGCTTTTAAAATGCCAAGTATTTATATGAGAGTTATAGTTCACATCTAAAGAACAGACTAAATCAGTGTATTGTTAGCAGTCACTGCCTGATTTTGCGATGCACATAATTATAGCAATGGCTTTTGTCTTCTGAGTGTAAGAACTGGAATTTGGGGTTTTTTTTGGTGCCTGTTCACATACTGATGTAGCAACTTGGATGATAGAGGTAAAAGCATTTTATATTTACTTAATTTATTCACTAGGCAACAATTTGCTTTTTAAAAATAAGTCTAGGCCTAGGGGCCTTTTAAAACTTTCTGGATATTTTATATCCTGTTATTTATTCCTTTTGGGCCCTGGTAATGTTTTTCCCCATGAAACAAGGCTTTTTCCAGGAACACCCACTAGTGGGATGGGATGTATTTTGTGTATTGTGTATTTTGTGAATAGTCATGATGCACTTTTGTCAGCTTTTATCTGAAAATGAGTGAAAGTTAATGCTTGTTTGGAAAAATGACTTTTTATAATTCTCTATTGACTACAAATTCATAGATACTCATTCTTTACTAACTCAGTGGATTCGCAATTCTTCTAGAGTTGTTAGTTTCCTGAACTTCTTTGAGCAGTGATGTCAACTGTCAAGAGTTTAGTCGAACTGGCTAATTAGAACATGTACAAACAGCAGTTTAAACCACTGATAGTCACGAGGAATAAACAAGACCTGTACTTGAGCTGATTTGCCAACTTGGAGCATGAGGACATTGGGAAAGGAAAAGAGTTCTTTAGTTCTGTGATCACGTTATATGGAAAACAATGACCATAATAGGTGCATAAATCAGGTAATTTGTATTGGATCAGCTTTTGCTACATCAGTCCTTGGATAGTAAGACTTTAGGCACATTCTTGGAGACCATTATACCCTGTACCTGGCTTTGTTATAAAATACCATGGACACACTGATACTGGGAGTCGTTGTAACCATGCTCTACGGGATATTTGGGCTTTTGTGGTATAGTGCTTGCTTCTAAAGGATTAGAAGTGTCATTCAATAGGAAACATCAGTTTATCAGGGGTGCTGTGCCTAAGCACGAATGTTGGAAAAAAAAAGAAATGTGATAGAGCAGCATTTTCAATGCAGCAGCAGAAGAAACAGCTGTCGAGTCGCATTTTAATTTTTCTAGTAGTAAGACAGAATTAGGGAAAATGATTTTAAGAAGACTGAAAAATACCAACTTTATAACATTTTTAACTAAATACTGAAAGGCTTCTCTGAATTTCAGGACAGTTTTCTGCTTGCTTATTTCAGTAATACATTGAAAATTCAGTAAGCTGAAGGGCAGTTGTATCTTATGTTTTGATTATGACCTTTTTGGTTTTAACTTATGTTCTCTGGAACAGCTAGTTTTGCATATATTATGATGATCAGGGCTGTGTTATTATACCAGAACAAAGAAATGACGTGTCTTTCAGTTGCACTCCTAGCTATAGTTCTTGCCTATCTTTGATTTTAGGTTGAACTTCTTGCGCATTTTGCGTAAGTGACTGTTACTCTGTACCCTCTAATCATGTTTAATTTAATTATTATCTGTACCTCGTAGTTGTACTCCCTTCTCTGACTGCTGCTGTTTTTAAAGGTTTGGTAGAGTTTCACAGTGGTCTCTGATTTTTAACATCTGCATTTTGTCAGCTTCAGTAAGGATACTTGGATGCTTTCAGTTTGTGTTAAAGTTGTCAGAATC